AGCACTTTTCGCGTAAAATATTGGTTTCATTGGGACAGTACAGCACTTTCTGCCTCTCGGCTTTAAAAAGTGCTGTACTGTCCCAATAAAACCAATCGTTTTGGCTGATGCTCTTGGAAGACTGAAAAAGATTGTTCATTAACTTATTGAATTACATACTTTAATTATTGTTTTTTGTTATATTACATGAATAGATTAATTTAATGGATTAAGCAATTTACTTATTCAATTTAAAAATGTAAATAAGGTATTTTACGAACTTATTTGAACTAATTACATTCTTAAAGAATTGAATTAATTTCACTAATCTAAATAATCAACGCATTTAATTAAATACTTTGATTAATTTACTTAATTTAATTAAGCAAATTAAGTACATCAATTTACTTATTTAATTCTCTAATTAATTTAATCAATTGAATTAAGTAAATGTGTATTTACATAATTTGATTAATTCGCTTAATTTAAGTGGGTTAAATAATGCAATTTTTTAAAGTACACGTCATTAAATCATTTGAATTATTTGGTTAGATAATTGAATAACTTACTTAACTCAATTAATGAAATTAATTGATTCCAAAGAAAAGTGTAATTAGATGGTCAAATCCATTTATTTATTTTAATTAAGTTCATGTATTTCCTTAAGTAATTAAATTGATTAAATTAGTTAGTATATTTAAAATAGTTAAATTAGTTGAATTAAGCTCATTCATGTAAATACACTTAATTATTCAACTAGATAATGAGATTAGTTCAATTCATGGAACTAGTTTAAACAATATTAAATAATTACGTTTAAGTAAATTCATTGAAATATTTAAAGTGGTTAATATTATTTTAAGTAAATTCATTAAATAATTACAGTGATTACATTATTCAACTAAGCATGTAAATTAATTTAAGTAATGTAATTAACTCAAAAAATTACATGAATTGAATTCATTAATTCATTTTGATTAATTATTAAGTAATTAAAATAATTAAATTATTTGTGAAATTTAGTTAAATTGATTTATTGACTTATGTAATTACATAATCTATTTACTTAATGAATATATTTATTTAATTATATACTTTAATTCAATTAGTTAAAACAATTATTTGAATTATTTAAACCTCCAAAATTAAAGAATTCCAATATCCCACGATTTCTCTTTAATTCCTCATTGGATTTAAAAAAGAATTCATATAAAGAAGCGCCACCACCAAAACCCAAATATCAGGACTTCCAGATTTCGCTTTAGTTCCTAATTGGATTTTGAAAGGAAATTCTATATAGCAAAGCCACCTCCAGAACCAGATTTCCGATATCAAGATTCCTCTTTAATTCCTGATTGGAATATAAAAGGAATATATATCAAGCAAAGATACCTCCAAGATTAGAATTTCAGGATTCCAAGATTACTCTTTAAATCCTAATTGGTTTTTAACCGAAATTTATATTAAAATAACGCCACCTCCAAAATTAGAGAATTCCAATATACCAAGATTTCTTTTTAATTCCTATTTTAAAAGGAATTTAGCTGGAGCAAAGCCAGTATTCCAAATTTTCTTTTTACTTAACTGGAATTTAGAAGGAATCCATCCAGGAAACCTTGGTCAATGGGGGGGGGTAGCTTCAATATCTATATAAGAATCCAAATCCAAAAAATCAAAATATCTGCATAATTACAATATTTTCGATTTCCATCTATATTCTGATATTTGAATTCAAGAAGAGAATTATAATTAAGATAGATATAATATTCGGAATAATCAATCATCCAGATATGTATATATTTATAAAAAGATAAATGAGAAAATGCCAAATATCGAATTATGATTCGAATGAAAGATGCGATCAATAGAAATCAATAAATCGGATAATCAGGAGATCTTCAAATCAATAAATCAAAATGAGAAATCGTGCTAGAATATTCAAGAAGGATAGGATAATCTTCTATCAATATTTAAACGTAGAAATTATCGTATTAATAAGAAAGCGGAGAGAATAAATAGATTCTTCGAATTATTTTCTCATCTCTTTATTCGCCAAATCAGAATTCCTATAATTTTAGATTTTCAATTTTTTATTATCTCGAGAATTTCGTAATTCCTTTATTTGAGTGCCGGGGAAATAAGAAAAAATCGTATTATTTTCTATTAATATATCAAAATATATTAAAATGATTTATCTATTTCGAGCATCCTCCTAAAGTTCTTATTAGATAAGATAAGAGATATAATATTTCTGGAAGATTGGGGAAATTCTAGGATTGGATATTACAAAGATATTTGGTGGCTGGGCATTACAGGGATATTCTACGAATAGAGATTGAGGATTTTCTACGAGTAGATATTGCAGGGATATTCTGCAAATAGGCATTGCAGGGATATTTAAAAGATGATCGTTGCAAGGATATTCTGCAAATAACCATTGAAGATATTCTGCGAATAAATATTTCATATTCTATAATTGGAGATTCTAGGGATAATTGGTAGTTGGGCATTGAAAAAATATTCTGGGGAGAGGCGCTGAAAATATTCTGAGCTTGGACATTATAGGGAAATTCTGAAAATAGATATTGCAGAGATATTTGGCGATTGGATATTATAAAGATATTTTGCGAATGGACGCTGAGGATATTCTCAAGATGGATATTATAGAGATATTCTCTAGACGGAAATTATAAGCATATTTGGAAATTAGAAATTATAGGGATATTTAGTATTTGCTCATATTCTATAAGGATAATTTGAGATTGAATCTAAAAATATTCTAATCAAATATAATACGGATATTCTAGAATTAATTATTGAAATTATAACTATATTCTACGCTCGATAGAGGAAAATATTCGAAATCTGTGCATTACAATGATATTTAGCGAATAATTATTATAAAGATACGATGATATATTCTCTTCGAATATCGTACCGTAGGGGATCTGTACGTTAAAGTCTAAATATTTAATTTTTCCAGCCCCTCAAAGTGGGGCCGCAGTTTCAATTTAGATTGTCCCAGGCAACGGGTTTGCCTAGTGCCCCCATGCCGCGTAGCCAGATAAGATCAGGGGATCCCGTTCTTTATAAAAATTTGTCATTTGGCGAATTTTACTAACTTTATCTACTATCTAATTCCTTATCTCATATCTTATTACTTTTCTGAATAGAGAATGAATTAGATAATAGAAAAGGCTCGTCATTTTTGGACGAGAATGACCACCCTTCTCTAATATCTAATTCATTCCCCCTTCTCTTTATCAGCGCCTGCTAAGAAGATAATAAGGAATGAATTAAATAATAGAGAAGGAAGATCATTTTTGACGAAAATGACCACCCTTCTCTATTATCTAATTCATTCCCTCTTATCTTTCTTAGCAGGCGCTAATAAAGATAAGGGAGAATGAATGAATTTATAGAGAATGACCATCTTTCTCTATTTCCGAATCTATTCCTTATTATATTTCTCAGCGTATGCGGGCAAAGATCATAGGTCATATGTCAGGATCATATTCGTTGACTAAAAGCGCCGTGCCCCGATTTTTGATATTTTCAGGCCTCCCCCTCATCCCCAATTTCAATATTAATATGAAAGCAATTATATTTTGGACCTAAGCATAATATTATTGAAATGAGAGGATAGGGGTTCAAGTCAGAACTTAATTTAGGAATATAAAAATCGCCCCAAATCTAATTTCAGTAATTAAGTCCTTCATAGAAGTAATTACCAATATTATAATTTCTCGTGTAATATTTCCGATAGATTATTTATTTGCCATATAGTTTTCTTGAATAGCGAGATTGCTTCCTTTTCCCATCTAGATCCTAATAGAAGAGAAAAATAGTCAAATTTGAAAATCGTATAAATCTATAACGAATCTAGGAATAAAATCAATCAAAATGAAATAAATTCAAATTTATATAGATTTAGAATTAGATATATTAATATATTAACGATAAACCATCAAATCGATAAAATAATATATAACCAAATCGGCAAATAGAAAAATAGATATCAATCCAGCTCTGAAATATGCCAATAAATAATGTTATTAATTCTCTCCAATAAATTTATTAAATGTAAAGTCGATAGGTTATCAATTTAGCAGACCTTCTTTTTCCAGAATTTAATGGATAAATTGAAAGACCGACCAGTAGACGATTAAATAGATTTCAGAGATCCTCGGATCAATAGAATGAGAGATTGAGAGAATCGACAAAAAATAGACGGTCAGGCCGATAAAATGATAAATCGATTGGAATATTCATTTATATCTAAAGTTCCTGAGGCTGATAAAACGACAGACCATCAGAACGATGACGGATTAAATACGGAGAGATTGACAGAGCGGCACCCTGATCGTTTGACCGTCATTCTTAGTCGCCGATCGACCCATAAATTGGGAGCTGGGCTGACAGAACTACGCCGATCTGTAGGTGTGGCTACTGCAGTGATAAATGAAGCAGCAAGGGGCGGGGGGCGCGATCAAAAATCTCCGATATTTTTGCTCGCCTCCCCGGATCAAAAAATTGGAGCCTCCAGTTTTTCGCAAGGGCCCTAAAATCTGAGCCTCTAGGGAGCCCGCAGGAGGCATTTTAATGGAGAGCCGGAAAAGCTAGGCCCGGTGCGAGCGACATTGCCGCAAGTGGCCAGTGTTCCGCGATTCGAGATTTTGGGACATCCTAGTAGGATTTTCTGCGGCTGGGCGTGTTAGGGCAGCTGGGCACTGCAGGCATATTCTGCGCTTGGGCACGTCAGGGATATTTGGCGGTTGGAAACTCGGCGCTTGGAGACTCGGCGGCTGGGTACAGAACATAGACTTCTTAAATTCCAAGAGGATGCGGTAAAAGTTGTAATGTCAAATACTTATTTAGATTCCATATCTTTGGAAGGACATTGTTATCTATCTTCCTTTCATAATTTTGGCTGGGATCTTGTTTTCCCAGCCATTCTTATTCCTCGCCTTCTCTGCAGGTCCCACCATGGAGTTGATTCCCCATTCCATAATTGAATTTTATCAAAGCTCACGAAGAAGGCAACATCCTGCAGCCAGTGCTAACATCAAACTGCATAGCCCAACGCTCAGCCCGGCCGCAAGTGAGAGCTGCCTCAAATAGCGAGCGAGCCACTTGGCCAGTTCATAGGAAACCTACACATCTCGTTGCCGCAACTACTACATCAAACTATAACGAGGCATGGGCATCTGCGCCGAAGCTAGTGTCTGTGCTATTGCGTCCTGCCAGCAAGCAGTATAAGGTGATTATCCGAAAGTGCAACCACAGTTGAGTAAATCTGTATGAATGGAGGTGCAGCTGCAGAAGTCCAGAATGGCTGCGAGCACCAGGGCAATCGCTGCAAAAGCTGCACACGAACAGACTATCACCAAGTCTCGAGGCCTGGCAAGGTGCTCACAGGTGCCCGGTGCAGTCTGGCTGTGGCACCCCTTCCTCTTTGCGTATCTTTGACCAGCAAAGATGCCGAGCAACAACTGGCCACCCAGAAGGGACCTTGACATGGCCAGAGATTAAAGTTCCCTGGGCTTGCGGCAAGCATAAAGGTCCTGGCAGCGAAATGATGCCCATTGCAAATTCCACTTGAAGCACGTAGACCTGGATCTGGAGATCAGGCTGAGACCGCATATCATTTGCATCAAAATGGAGTGCCAGACCTGCAAAGCCCCAAAGTATCCCACAACCAGCATCAGCACGGCCGTCAGTGCCAGGAAGCATCCAGCAGAGACAGCGCTCCGTGCCCTTCAAAGCAACGAGATCCAACAACAAACGAGAGCCCAAATAGAGCCCTCTCTCTTCCAGATTCCTTGGCCTGTTCGCAAAGCAGCCTGCAGCGCTCTGCAGGCGCAGGACAACAAAGAAAAGCACAAGGACGAAAAGCTCGATCCAATTCCAACCTACCCAGCAACAACGCACTCCAACACACTCACCGCACTCCTAAACGAGTGCTCGCGGCATCAAGGCAGTGCCTGGTGGGTAATCAAATTTTGCAGCTTTGGCAATCTGAAGGACCTTGCCGCACATTCTGCCAACATGATGCGGTGCATCATGTGCAAGGAGGTGTGGAGAATTTGGGCCATGACCAGCGTCACAACTCCATATGCTTGCAGCCAGTAGTCACCCAGCTGCACAAATACCTCTGACGGGCTGAAGGTACAGCCTCCAACATGCCAGTGGCATTTCAACCAGGTGCCTGTAGATGGACTACACCGCCTTGCGGGACCTCATGCGCCGAGGCCTGGCAAGCCTAACTTGCTCCTTCCCTTGAAAGCCTGTGCAGACACTGCCTCAGCGAAAGATTTCGTACGGTTCATCGTCTCAGCAGAAGTTCCCTGCAGGGGGCGCCACAAAGTTTCTGCAGACAGACGTTGATCAGAAAAACAGCCTCGCCTTTTTGGGAGCTCCACATTGCCGGCAGAAGTTCCTGAGACATTCTGTTGACAGTCAGATGATGTCAGATGATTCAAGAAACCTACCGGCATCCCTCACGTGTTGAGACGAGGTTCGAATCAGGCAACAGAACGCTGCTGCACTGCTCGCAGACCTGCACACCAATCACATGGCTCGATGCAATCTGCATTCAAATCACAGCGTGCCTGCGCTGGTGGGGCCTTGGTCAGAGTCATCATGGCTCTGCTGATTCTTAATGTTTGATGTCTGGGCACTGAGCTGGTGCGGCAGACGGAGCAGAGGGAGCATCCGGCTCCATCGGCTCCGCATGGCCTGCGTCTGGACACAGAAACCGCTCAGCGGCGCTGTAGCTGCTGTAGCTGCTGGTTGCCTCCTGGATGTGCTGACACATCAGTTGTCAGATCTCCCATGCTTCGGATGCTTCGGAGCAACAGCTTAGATTGATATATCTTTCCAGACTTCGAGCTGGTCCAAAATATTGTCACTGCTGGCACCCTGAGAGTTAAGATGCGGCTGACGCAGCTTGTACAGCAGAAGCAGAATTGGTGTGACTGACCGGACTTCAATACATGGATTCATGCCAAGCTTGCACCCCCGGTGGATGAGGCCAAGAAGGACACAAAGTCTAGTGGTTGCTATGTTGCTGATGATGATGCACACATTCGAGACTTCGTCCGCTGTGGAAGCGAGCGTGCTGTTGATGTTGTTGCTGCTGTTTTGTAACAATAGGTCACAGCTGAGGCATGTGCTTGGATTTAGATGCGGTGTGCACTTGCTCATGCCGGGTGTCAAGCGGTGTGATACAGATACGCATGCCCTGGAGGCCCTAGTGGCATATCTTGTTTCTTGAGCTAGTCGTTAGTTGGACGATTCCTCAGCAGACTGAATGTCCGGATATCCCGCAGCATGGCCATGAATGAGAAAGCTCAAGTAGCCAGAATACATGCAGTCTACCTATGTCTGCCTGCTATTCCTTTTTACCACTGCTGAAGGTCCCGCAGGTCAACCCTGGTTTCAGAGTCAACCCTGCCACGTCAAAAGAGTGCTTTTGCCACGATGCCCTGCGCTTCGGGTGCTTTGGTAGCTTGATTGGCAGTCTGGCAGCAAACAAAGCATCACATATGTCACAAATCCTTCGAGAAGTGTTCCGGATGATTCGGCGCCATCCGCAACATGGAGCAGCTTCTGTCAAGTCAGCCGTCACCGACAGTGCTGGGTTGTCAGGCATGGACAGTGTGTGCCTTGCCTGCCGTCCAATCCAAAGGTGTGCAACGATGCAACGGGATGTGCACAGGAGCCCTTAGGTAGAAATACTCACAGCTGAAGTGCGAAAAGAAGAAACATACCAACGTGGCAGCGGCCAAACCAGCACAGTTTATCACTCTGGCTCTGTCTGAAAACCTTGTCTGAAGGTGTTGTCTGAAGAAGGCCACAGGGACAGGCCATAGGGGCAGGTCTCGAGTCTGGGAAACGCTGATCTTCGGAACATCGCTCCTCAAAGCTGTGCTGCGCGCTGATACGCGTGCCATCGCACTGCCCAAGCTGCATCGATGATCTCATTTCGGCAGCTCCAGAAAAGATTTTGCAACTCCGGCAACTGAAGAACTGTCGCCCAGTCTCTGGGTGAGTCAGGAACAAGTAGTCCGGGGTCTGCATTGAGCATGACCAGCAAGGATGCCGCCTGAACGTTGCCTTCTTTCGTTGCGCGAAGCAATGGCGAGTCACCATTGCTTTCAGAAAGCATGAGCTGAAGGTTGCCTTCTGCATGTTGCACCATCCACTGCAGAGCAGGAACAGCATCATTCATAGCAGCAACATGCCACAGTGTTAACCCTGCGTTATCAGCAGTATCATTGAAGAATTGCGACACCAAGCATGGTGAACCGCGGAACAAGGATGGGAGCACGTTTTGAGGAATGTCCCTCCCGCCACTGCAAATAGCTTGAAAAAATGCAGTTGTTCCCTCAATATCTCGCTTTGCAGGATCGCATCGTTGAGCGCAAAGCCAAGTGCAAATGCCAGCATGGCCACCTGCATCTGGCCAAGATGCAAAAAAGTCAAGTGATTCAGACTGCGGATAGACTCATAGACATCAGTAGGACGCCAGTGGACGGAAGCCTCAACTACACGGGTCCATTCTCCTAACTTCTTTTCAAGATATCACAGCCCCGAAGGTCCTCTATTACCACAACTTTGTCGACTCTCTTGCATGTAATTCTCTGAACAAAAAATTGGAATTGAATTCTGCCCTGCAAATAGCTTCCGCTCAGGTAAGCTTTGGCTACAGCTGCCTCTGTGTCTCTTTGGGGTGGATTCAAGGGGCGCGGGGTTGGGGAACTCAGGCGTGACCAGGATATTCCAAAGTCCTGATAGCATGCCTAGGAGCCTCAAATGATACGATTCCAGATACCACATATAAGCTTGCGTCTAAACAATTCATATGGGGTGATATTGGGGATTATATAGGGATCCTGGGATCCTGCTGTTGGCCTTGTTAAGGGGGTAGAAGGAGTTTGTACTGTAGCTCATATATAGGAACCTCGCAATGTCGGACATTGAGCATGACATCATTTTGGTGATTTCCTAGTACATTACCGGCTCGCACATACGCCGCGTGATTTCTATATTGCCAAACCACGGGACTGGATTCCTTTTTGCAGTGTGACATGATGTTGAGCGAGCATCGCCAAGGTCTGCCGTATAGCAAGCTCCCTGGTGCGCTCCCGCTGCTGCATGGGTGTGGCGAAGTCAAGCTTCTTTCGAATCGGGTAATATCGGGTAGTTTGACAAACACCGAGCTTACAGAAATGGCAAGAGCTGCAAAGTCTTCTGGAGACTGGCAAGATGGCATCACCTCGGCCATCCACATGTCTTGCGAAGCAAAGTTGACAAAGTGATCAAGAAGCAGCGCTTTCGCTGACCAACGGGTTCCCAGATGCAAGGAAGACCGGTCCCAAATGCTGTCAATGCCAAGCCCGAAGCAGGGGACGCAAGTGGACTCGCCAGTACAGCATAAGCAGGGAAGGGCCACAACTAATTGACAGAGCTGTACACCGGCTTAAACCTGATCCCCGCGCCTCGTGCAGCATACCAAAGTGGGGTCCGGCCTCGCAAAGAACGTGCACTGCGGGGCAGTCTTCATCATCCAAATGAAGGGATCAATGAACTTCCCATGACCATGAGATACCATGAGCCATGTTGACATAGTTTGCAATGGACGGCAAGTATATCTGATGCTTACAACAGCATTTACCGAGGGCTTGGCCGAGTTCGTCTGCGCCATCCAGCTCAATACCTTGAGGCTGGGCCTCCAGGATAGTTAGCAGAAGCTGCTGGTCGCCCTGCAAAGCTGCATAGTGCAGCACGCTACGGCCATCTCGGTCGCATTCCAGCACAATCTTGCCATCCAAAGCAAGCTTCATGAGTGAGCGATTGGATGTGATAGCAGCCTCCAATGCTAAATTCCACTTCGTCGTTGGACAGAGCACGTTTTCGAGCTTCAGTGAGTTCTTTCGCAGCAGGTCCTCCACAAGCCAGGTGCAGCCAGTGGTAGCAGCTCGCATACACTGCTCCCATGGCCTCAGGGATCGCCAAGCTTCCACAGTGACGCCACCATCATACAAAATTCTGCACACTTCCTCCGCTTTCTCAGCGGAGACGTGGCTGTCTTCCAGTTTGGCCAACGCGCGGTCAAGAGAGCTCTGCAGATTTGCGCGAGAATCGACAAGAATTTTGCATAGACCTGCATTTGATGTGTCGATTGCGACCTCCAGTGGGCTACGCCCCATCGGCCCTAGTGACTCCAAAAGCTCTGCCTGAAGATCTCGGACGATCAACAATTCCGGAGAATCATCTGTGCCTTGTCTGCTGGAACTTTGTCGCTGTGAGTGGACTCTGATGTCGACCAGTTGCTCCAGGTAGCTAGAATGATCACCAGAGCTAATGGAGTTCCACAGATGTTCGTAAGCCAGTCTCCTGGCTGAATCTATTTGAAGCTCAAAGACGGCATCCAGCCACCTTGCACGCTGGACATTCGCTGCAACATAGGCCTGAAGTTTTGCTGGATATGAACGTGAGACAGCCTCGTATAAGCCAAGATCTTTTGGCAAGCTCTGCAGCTCCCTACACTCGCAAACCACATCTACCGCATCCTTCAACAAATCTTCTGCGGCACGCAGTAGCTCCCCAACGGTTGCGACCGTCACCTGCAGATTCCAGACGCCACGTGGCATGGACAGCGTTGATTGCTACCCTGCACCTCTTCCTCAAGCAAGTCACCGTCGCGCAAGCCACACATCACCACCCTTGCCTTGCATGATAGGCAGAAAGTGTCTGCAGGACAGGCGCCAGACAGACTCATCAGGCTGAGGTGCGCGAACAGGGCTTCCACATGGAGATCCTGAGGAAAAAACACAGCGGCGTCACCAAAGCAGGAAAAGCACAACAGCAAGGCTCTGCAGCTTACGCCGGCTGCCTTGATGTAGCTGACTCAGGACAGGTGCATGACGCGCAGCCTGACAAGTCCCGGAAGGAGCCAACCAACGACCTAATTAGGTACATCCTGCACAAAGTGCCTGAAGTCTGCGAAGGCTGACTGCTCGATGTCCAGGCCTCAGGCAATCGTGTGCCATGCCTTGCATATGGCGCTTACGGAAATCCCGTTGGGTCGTTAAGGCACTTACCCCGCTGCAGTGAGCCCCGTGAGCTCTTCATGTTCAAAGCTTGGCTCTTGCGGCACAATGCTCTGGAGGTTCTGTGCTTCCTCCTTTCGCCTGAATCGGCATCAATCAAGCATTGACTACGCAGCCTAGATGGCACTGTGATGCCACAACACGAATCCGTGAGACCAGGACTTGCTCTGCGTAGAGCTGCCACTTCCCATCGCACATGGGCATTGCGGTTGAGTTTGGGTAGTTTTTTCTGCAGGTTGCACTACGGACACTCAGACACCTGACGGTGAGCCGAAGCATTCTGCCAAACTGCTTGCCATTTGCAGAAAGATTCTGATGCATAGGAGCGCTATTCTAGCTGCTATTCAAGCTCACTGGTTGTCCAGGATTTTTCTTCCCACGCCCATTCTTGACACCTCAGCTTGACATCTCTCGGTGACTCTCAGGTCTTCCTCCACGAGTCAATGGTTTGGGATGCTTTGATGATCAATGATCTTTCGCCGAGCAACCACTTTTCAAACAGTCGTCGATGCCCAAGCTTCCTGACAAACAGCCAGAATGTCCGACGCATGAACCACAAACACCTGCAATCAAAGACGCGCCCGTTACAGCTCAGTCGCAGTCCTTACCCCCAGCTCGATGAAAAAGCTGCTGCAAAGCCTGCCGTTCCTGTCTCTGCGCTCGCTCAACTTTGCAAAGGGTGCTGCTCAAGCACGCCGCAGCCTAATGTAGGCCGTCGCTACCTGTAACTGTCACTGTAGCTGCAGCTTCTGTCCACGACACATCAATAATTCTGAGGAACCGGCATTGGCGGGACTCTGATACTTTCTCAACCCGCCATAGTACTCCATCAAAAACCTGGGTCAGACACGGTGGAAGTCCGGGCTTGCTGGTAGCAAGTCAAGCAACGAGGGCCACACCCTTGAGGATCCAGGCTCCGCAGCCAGTGGCACAGAGGCTCAGCCTGCTCACGGCTCCGCATAGGTTCACTCTTGGAGAAAGTCATCGGACACGATTATTCGGGCAGTCGCTTCTTGCTTGAGGGCATGAAGGTCAAGCAATCTCAGGCAATAAGGAATGCTGTCTATGGGCTGTATGTTTCAGGTGCACAAGATTTGGGGCTCAGGATCTTGGGCCAGAGATAAATGAAGGGTTCGAAGCTTTGCCCTTTAGATGGGCGGGCAGATACTGCAGCCGAATCCGAGTAGAGGGAATGACCAACTGTCATCGAAGGGGGAGGGGCCGGCACGCAGGACAGGCCCCACCCCTGCCGCCAACCAGCATCGGCAGTATAGATGCATGCGCGAGAAGCAGCATGGCACCCCACTTGCCATCCTTCTCGGATCAGAAAACCTAGCTTCTCCCCAAACGTAAAACCTTGGTGAAACCTTGCGTGCGAACTTCCAGAAGCCACTCAAGCGCAGAAAGAGTAAGGCCTGGACGCTGAGATAGGTAGACCCAACTGTCCGATGATGCCGGGCGTGGCTTTCCCCAAGGCTTCATCGAAAATAAAAACCACTGCATCACCGAGTCGGCAGCAACTTTGCTGGGTACGGGCAGTGCGCATCCACCACGATTCCACGCTTGACGAAAGTAGAACTTGCGGTTTGGTGTTCAGAAAGAGTGAGGGGTGGCTGCGAGGGAGCTCATCGTCATTTTGCAGGTGCCGTGGGAGATTTGTCCTTCGATGAGAAAGCTGCAGAAACCATGAAGCCTTTATGGGAACGGGCTGGGTCTGGCTATCACTTGATGCTGGGATGTAGGCTGCCAGCTTTTTGCCAATGACAAATCAACAGTCAAAAAGCCAAAACGAGCAGTTAGAAACCCTGCTTCGTGCATCCGTAGTCAAGACAGGAAAGTCGCATCCAGGGGCGTGCTCTGCGGCAGCATCTGAGGCCTTCCTCGAAAGGCTGCAGGCTGCCAGAAATCTGGTCAAAGGCAGAATGGGCAAGGGCGACCTTGACAGAAACAAGACCCATGGTACCTGTGGCCTCAAAAAAACAGGGGGACATTGGCTGGAGGGGGGGTAAAGTAGCGAACTCGAGAACACGTCACATTCTCGCAGCACCGCTCAGTCAGAGTTTGTGGATTAATCCCGGCATTGCCAGGAGGAGCAGTTCTTCCGGCCCCGAACTGATAGGGTATGGCGTTTGCTAGACGTATGTGAGGCGTTGCATCTCGAGCGAGCCTCCTCCCCAAATTACGCATGACCGATCGTCCACTCTCCTGAAGCTGTTCTCTAGCCTGTTTGCTTATTGGAGCCGGGAGCAGCCCGTCTACCCTGTACAATGGTCTACACAAGAACGGTGCTTTTTCTGAAAGTCGGGCGGATAGCGATTGATTGTTCTCAAGGCCCGCCTCTTGATTTTCGTCATAGTATAACATCAGCCTTACTGATACTAGCCTGACTGCTGACAGTGAGCTGCAGCCCGACAAGGAGGTCATTCCTCGAAAAGTCAAAGTTGTCGTAGTACCGGTATAGCGCAAGACAGTATGAACCTGATGATTTAACGTTAGTCTCTTTGCCTTGAGCACCGGCATCCGCTGAGCTCTCCTTAAAAGTGCTCGGTCAGCCACAAGATTTTGGGTCTATCCACACTCTTCCCAAGATGGCCAGGCTCCACACCTGCTTTGGTCCTCTTCTCGTGTCGGTGAATGGACGTGCACTCGCCGAAGGTGCTGCAAAAAACAAGCAGTCTATGAGAAACACCTGAAGCTCTGCTGAGTTTGAGAAAAAAACTGTTGGAGCTTGTAATTGTTGTTGCGTGTAGACAGCTCTGGAAAAATCCTGGATTGCTCCCCACCTTGATACGGAGGGCAGCCCGCTTGACCCTGCCACACCGCTACCACTCTCTTGAAGCATGACATCGCGCAAAGCCGCCAGTCAATCGGTGCCAGATGCACTGCAGATTGCCAGGATGTAGATTTGAAACCTGCATGGCTGCATGAAATCCAAAGTGCTCAATTGAGTCCGATAATGTGCATCCCACTGCAGATCTAGTCCTCATCTGCCACTTGATCAAAGTCATCCATTGCAATAACACCTGGAAGGTGCATGGACATTGAGGCCCTATTGGATCGCCTCAACTTGAGGATGGGGCCTTTCAGCGCAAGCCTTGGACAAAACCAATCAAGAAAGCAGCAGGACTAAATGGCACGGAAGACCCTGATGCGACCGACAATTGCACCATGGTCAGAAAACACCATCACTTGTAACCATCCAAGCAAGGCTACATACTTGCGACTACTTGTTATTCAATTACCTGCCTCCACCAACATACTCCTGACCGCCGACATTCATAAAAGAGGTGAGGGTTTCGCAGGTTTCTGATCGTTTGGTTTGCGGCTTCTCGGGTCAGGGTTGAGGGCGTGCGGGATGAGGGCTTGAGTTCTTCTATAAGGCTTTACAGTTGCCAAGTGCTTGACATGTATTGCTTGCGGCTGTTCAAAATTGAAGGGCACGCATCAGCACCAGCTGGAAGTGTTTTAGGACTCACGGCTGGGATTGTGTGAGTTGTTGTGCACCTCGAACGTCCCTTCTGGTCGACGGGGCGGAGCCGTGCACCACCAGCGTTGGGGACCGGATGGCCTACTTGTACGAGCGTTAGCGTCGGGAGCGCGGAAATGCGACTTTCCGCACACTCTGTAGTTGGAGACCGCTGAGTAGCCAGATGTTCAAGCAACCAAGCACCCACGCCGGAACCAGGTGATCCAAAAGCATGGGCTCTGAACCCCGGCATGAAAAATTGAGCATAACAGAAAAAGTTGCACTAAAGTAAACAGCCACAAGGAGGCAGCAAGGATCAAAAATTGCTTTACACAGATCTCCCGTCGACCACTGGAGCGTAAGTCCAGCAGAGCGAGACGTTCTTGAGGAGGACGAGGGGAAGTAGGAGGAGCACGAGTAGAAGTACGAGCCATAGTAAGATAGTGGGTGAGTAGTAATAGTGGGTAAGTAGTAGTAGCAGCAGCAGCAGCAGGAGTAGTAGTACTAGTAGTAGTAGTAGTAGTAGTAGTAGTAGTAGGAGGCACGCGGCGGAGGCGATGCAAGATTTCGTCGCA